TATATATATATATATATATCTATATATATATATGTATATATATATATATATATATATATAACACGTTTATAATAAAGACATCCTACTACTAAAAATGGGGAATAAAACAGCCAAGAAACAAGCTTTATGACGAAGCAGCGTGTTTTCCGGTGGTGAAAGTAAAGCCAAGAGATGTTTAGGTGTGTAATGTTGTATTCTCATCTATCTGTTCAACTATCAGGGAGAAGCCAGAGTGAACTGGTGTCTATAATTGTGCTAGCCGCAGTCATGTTATTAATTTCTGTGAAGAAATTTGCCTTAATCTGTGAGTCTTTTGATTGGAGGAAACTGCGCCTCAGGGTGACGCTGCACTCCTTTCGTGGGGTGGAGGGAGGGGGCGGCCCATGTGACACTCAGCAGCACCAGCCACAGTGAGGCCACCAGCAGGTCGTCCTCAACCGAGCTGAGGGCTCGACTAATATCTTCTGACTACTTCTCATTACTCTTTACCACTTTATTTGCTTGTCTTCTTATCTGTATTATTGTGTTTCTTTCTTTATGGTTCTCTTATCTCTCACTATTTAGTTGTTTCACCCTCTCCTGCTCACTCAGTTTTAGAGACAAGGGTGATCATAATGCAAACATATTACTGGAATTTGATCTGTTTATCTTTGTTGTGCTCTGACAATTTCCCATTAACCCTGTTATTGCACGGCACTTGTACTAAATAGTATACCATTCCTAGCATTTGTATACTGGCTTTATAGATTGGATTATTGGATAAAGTGATGATGAATTATGTTAATTATTTGTGATTTCACAGATTGTCATTCTAACCATAGACGCTGCTTGACTCCAACTTTCTATTTGGCTTTACACTTGAGACCAGAAACATCTAACTGTGTCTTTGATATGTTTACCAACCAGGCCACAGAGAAGAATTTTTGTTATGCGATTTAATGTATGGACTGGACTTTTCTTCTAATCATTGCAAACCCTTTGTTAAATGTTTTCTCACCGTCTCCCTCAGCAATATGTCTCTTAATGTGTTCAGCGTTTCACACTTACACAGTCACACTTTAACTGCAGTTCCGTGGACTTTTAGTGATTTCTCAGTCTCTCATCATTGAGGTGATACAGGACCCATACTGCTTAACAGAATGAGACGATGAGTGTTCTGCAATACAATAATAGATTGCTGCAGTTCTCAATGTATCAGCATGTCTGGGACAAACAAACACAACCCCCTCCACCTAACAAAATATCCACCGTACAGTGGCAGGGTGAGCTGATAGCTCCATCGACTGAAATGGAAGGTCACACATCAGCTGCACTCCTACCTGTTCCTGGGTCTGTTGCTCTTGGCTGACGTCTACTTTAACAGTTTGGTTCCTCAGAATGCACTTAAACAGATAAATAACTCTACCTACGTCTTCTATCTGGTTAACTTACCTTTTAGAGTGTTTTAATCCCATTACAGCTCCAACTTTTTTTTTTTTTTTAGTGGATGGGGTGAGTGTGGGGGATGAGAGGAGGAGGGTGAGTAGAGGGGGTGGCAGGGTCTATGCGCAGAGAGAGTATGAGAGTCCCTTTGTATCCCGGTGAAGCTACAGGCCAGGCAGTTATGGGTAAGGCTCCCTCATTGCCCCGTTTCCCTCCTCCCCGAGCTCCCCTTCAATGGCCCTCTTTGTCTTTCCAAAGTATCACACAGCCGATTAAAGAGAGGGAATTAGGAGTCAGGCTTAACCCGTAACACAGAGAAACACACATGCACATTATAACAAAGTTGAAATATGCATATAGGCATGCATAACCAATCGTACCCCCATCTGGGGCCAGATTAGTTCAAGTTCAAGGAAGCTTTCTGTTGTGGTAATCAGCTACAAACTACAGTACATGAATGTGGATCTGATGACACTCCTGCTACTGTTGTAACACATCACCCCCGCAGTCCAACACAGTGCCTGCTGATCACTCATGTTCAGCTCACCTCTGCTAATGGTCAATTGTAGATTGCTGCACACAGCTAAAGTGAATTATCCATTAGCTGAACAGATTGGCTGGATGCCACAGAGACGTGCTTTTTGTTGAGTTCATAATAATCAAATTAGTTGTTTGAAAATCAGGATGTCAGTTTGTTAGTACACTGTAGTTATTATTCAGACTGAGATGTTTATTGATAGATGGTTATTTCTATAATTTCTTCCATTGTAAAGAGAAATGTTTCAAGAGGCAGACTTGTATTAAAGCAGAAATAATAGAGCTTTATTTCAAGTGAGAGTAAAAGATCATTAGTCATTATCACATGTTCAGGCTGTTGCTCCTGCTGTTATTTGGAGGTTGCGTTGCTGTGTTGTGCTGGCAACAAGTTATACAAGAATGGAAAATATGAAATACTAAAATGGCAGTAACAGTCAAAAGTTTTCTTCATAATGGAGAGAAACCAATAACAGCGCACACAAACATAAAACAATATAAATAAGAAATGCAAAATCATAGCAACATTACAGGTATTTTATACATAGCAACAAGGATGTAACTCTGCCTCTTATGCTGGAGGTAAATGGTTAAATAGATGTCGACCAGTAATTAAAACAAGCAGTGCTGCATGCATATGGTTTGGATCTGTGTCCAATAGTGATAAAAAATATTTAAGTGATATACATGAAAACAAAGAATAATTACATATGGAAAAACAGTGGACCATAAAGAGAGATGAGAAATCAGAAAGAAAGACAGAATATAAAAAACAGATGAACTAATAGTCCAAAAGTTGGGAAAGACACAAACATGATTCAACATAAAATACAGGTTGTTGCTTCTCTGTTTCCTTGTGAGTAGCTGGTATTATTAAAGACAAGGCACATTTTATGTTTAATATTCGGCTGTGTTAAAACATTATCTCCTGGAAGCTTCACTCACTCAATCCCTGGCAACTGTTTCTCAGTATTGGCATCTCCTACATTGAAACTGTCCCAGAAATAATGTTGTTTTTTTAAGTTAAACAACTACAATCAAAAGATCAGACATTTCACATTGAATACTGTTCTATATACACATTTTGAATAACGCACAAAGGAAAAGGTAGGCAGTGGTGCAGACTTTCAGTGGATAATAATGGCAAAAAGCATTTGACAGCATTAATACAGTCAATTGTTAAAACGATGAATGCTTCTATCATGTATTTTATGACACACTGCGACCGTCGTCAATGAAAAGCCATTATCTAAGTATAAATATGTCTGTTATCATGAATGTTCTTCATGAATACGTCAAATACTAATGAAAATCATCACACTCATCAGTGCCATTGTGAAAAAGGCAAAAGTAGCTTTTGACACTAATACGTTTTAAAGTAATTTACAAGAAGTCACATTGGAAAAATGCTGACAGCTAAGAGAAAACTAATTAGCAACAAAATGTAAGGTAGTTTTGAGTGTCACGTTGGGAGAAACATCTATACAATCTGTTTCTTCTTTACAAGTTTTGGTCTCAAAACTTTGGTCATTTCACAAATTTCTCAAATCTGTATGCATCAATATACGCACATTTGCAGTTTCAAGTACATAGTATAAACTATCCTGATAATAGTCAGTCATCATGAAAACTGTTTTTTGACTAAATATACATTTAACTTAACAAAACCTCAACATGGTTTTATGGCATTTGTCTTCCACTTACGTCCATTGTGTGTACAAAAGGCATTTTAAGTCAACACAGCATAATAATTTGAATGAAATAGGCACAAATGTGCCTCAAAAAACCCAACAGAATGCTATCAGTATTTGTTGTATTGATTTCCAAAAGCAATACAAAACTAATATATGTTTGATAAAAGGTCAGTCTTGCCTGAGAAGTGAATGGGCCACAGCTAAGTAGTTTGGCACTCCATTCTTCTGGGTACAAAAAAAATCCCATTTCATATAGAATGAATTTAGCTCCCTCTCAGTCACACCCTTCACAACACAGATCAAGGTATTGCTGATTCTTAAAGTGTACTACGGTCCCTGTTGCTACTGACCCCTTGTGGCTTGTGGGAGAGGGTTGAAGACTACAATGTGTCTCCTCTGATACACATGGACTCACCAAACTGACAGGGACATGGTCCTTTACCACTTTATGAACGCTGTCACCAGAGGCCTTGCTGCTGTAAATCTAACCTGGAACTCTGCAGTGGTGGTAGGTGGGTGTTTTTCCTCTGTGCCACCAAAGTTATACATTCTCTGACTGCTACACTGTGTGCCCCAAATAAACAACCATGTTTCAAAAGCACCACCCTCCAAGCTCATCCTTGAGCTGTGATGGCATTTCTGCCTCCGGGCAAGAGCAGAACGGGGTTTCTCCCTTCCTGCTTCCCCAGCCGACTCCCCAGGTGCCTGCCCACTCCCCCCGGGCCAGACCACTTTCACCATTGCTACCACCAACACTACTGCTGTTGATGCTGCTCCTTGGGTCTGACATGGGGGCTGAACCTGCACCAGTGCCCTCTGGTCTCGTTGTCTGTCATGGCCGCGACAGCGTTGTGTAGACGGGCTGTTCCCAGTGCGTGGGGCTGTGTGACTGCGGTACGTTGGCAGGGTCACTGATGGCAGTGTACAGGGGCCTCTGGGAGGGCCCCATGTAAGAGAAGGCAGAGTACAACCCCGAGGCCTGGCTGGAGTGAGCATAATATGACCCTGAGGCCTGGTGGTCAGCGTATTCAGCAAACTGAGCCCTGGAGGCCAGTGAGGGGAAGGCTGAACTGTAGTGAGGAAGGCTGAGGGGAGTGTAGGTGACGTGGGAACCAGCTGAGACAGCCTCTGCAAAGTGACCCCCAGCACCTCCGGCCTCGCTCTTGATCTGGGCCTTGGAGGGATCTGAGCCCAGAGGGGAGCCATGATGTTGCTGCGGCTGTTGCTGCTGCTTGGAGAGCCAGGCTGCTGAGTGTCCACTGGCCGCTGCCAGAGCTGAGGAGATGCCGTAAGTGTACGGAGAGGCTGGAGAAGCTGTTGCAGCTGCACCTGTCCCAGCGCTGTGCCCCACCCCAGGGTGCCCATTGGGGGGAAGGTACTGGTCAAACTCATTGACATCAAAAGGTTCCATGTTGACCATCACCTCGTGGCTCATCTCACCAATGTCCACATTACCAAAGTCAATGTGAGGTTTCCCAGATCCCGGAGCTCCTGAGCTTCCCTCTGCTCCCATTGTGCCACGGGAGCCCCCATTGCCAGGACCCTCCCGTTTTCCATCACCTGCCTTACCAGACTGAGTTTCGGTCTTGGGAGTGGTAGGAGGTGTGGGAGGACTGTGACTCTGACCTGTAGAGACACAAGAAAACATGTGGTTACAGTAATTTTCTTGACAGATTCAAATAATTATCTGTGTGCCACTGCAGCTGTATCCAGACTAAGCTAACAGTGTGACAGGGAAACAGTGTCAGTGGGGTAGTGGGTGGGAGCCGGCAGCCCACCTGCAGGGTGGTGCACATCTGAAAGAGGGGAACGAGCTCCCCCACTGTGGACCACTTCCAGGTGGAGGCCCTTGTAGTGGGACTGGCTGACCTCACCCTCCGAATGGCCATCGGCCTCACTTCCTGATCCGGAACCAGGTTTTCCATTTTTGCGGCGTCGTGGCTGGTATTTGTAGTCGGGATAGTCCCTCTTGTGCTGCTTCCTCAGCCTCTCTGCCTCCTCGATAAAGGGTCGTTTGTCACTCTCATTAAGAAGCCTTGGATAAAAAGAAAACATGTCAACAGGTTCGTTTAAGGTATGAAGAACCGATGGAATGTTTCACCACTCAACCAGAATTAGGCCACTGTGGGTTTCTTTAGGGCAAATGTTAACAGTAATAGGGAAATGGTAGTCATCTGAGAACATCTGTGTTACCGGTAACATGAATCCTAAAAAATGCACATTAAGTCTTCAAGGCTTAATATTCTGGAGGAAGTAAAGAATCTGGGTTAATGGACATGAAAGACAACACACAGTATATAGGTCAACATTTTCTTTCACAGATAACAGTGTTACGTACAGCAACATACTTTCCAGTAATAAATTTGATCCATTTTTAGTGCACATTAATACATTATGCTTCACTCAATCTGCACAGCTGCATCTAATGTCATGCCTGCGAGGAGCTTTTGACTGCCGGACAGTAACGAAATAACACAGGCCAAACATGCATCCTGTCTGCAAACATGAAACTGAGCTCCTCCTTACTACTGCTAGCAGGAATGGCATGAGAAACCCCTGACCTCCCTCAGCCTCGCCGTTCATCGTGTTTCTCGGCCAATTAACCAATCATGTCTGAGCCCAAGGTCAAGTCTTCATCTAATTATTGCTCAGTCCCCACAAGGTTAATGAATTTAACCTATTGGCCATCTTGTCAGTGAATAGCGATTGTTCTGTGTGAGAAAATAGAAACTGAATGGATGGTCTGAAAGAACCTTAAACTTAAAGACCTGCAGGGGTTCTGTGATCAAGAGGCAGCCGTGTTGACATATAAGACCCAGTATTCGTTTTTTAGGAGGCTAACCGTAAAGATTCACTTTACTCTGGCTGACCAGGGAATATTAGCAATTTCAGACCACAACTTACATAAATGTGTAAGCAAGCAAATGTATTAAGTAAGAGCAGGGGGAGTTTAAAATATGAATTTCACATTAAAATAATAAGGGAAATCTTGCCATACTTAAAGTTGAAACCCCTCTGTTTCCCTCAGGAGCCATTTACTCCTGCAGCTACATGGCCAGTAATTAAACAGTGTGTGAAATTAGCCTGGATTCAGGAACATGTGGCCACAGCACACTCACAGTTACGACATACAAATGCTTCTCAGCTGGTGAACTGTGTCCAAAAGTGGGCAGCGAGACAATGTGGCAGAGTTTTAGGGCAACCATCCATGTCTCCTAAAAATCACAATCATATGCAGCACAACTCTGCAAATATATTCAGCAGAAAACATAATTCCACAGACCAGATGAGGGAATGTTGTCTTAAGACATTTTCTCATGAACAAGGTCACAATGTTCTTGAGAAAAAAAACATTGACTTAAACCAAATTGTCCAGGGAAAAAGGCAGAAGCTTGTTGCATAATTATCATAATTAAAGAAAAAAGATCCTAGATAAAATATAATAAAGCAGAGGTGTCTGCATGTTCACAATAATGTATGGTGTGCTTTAACTGTTATATCTGTAGAATACACATGTACGCCTACATTGCCCTTGTTTTCTTATTATCAGCATCTATGTGAGCAAGTTGGCCAGAATTAAAATCCAACAAAGAAAAATTATAGAAAAATTAAATTATGGGGACTCTGAGTACAGGATGCAGCATATCAGTTTGTTGAGGTGATACTTCTTTGCAAGCCAGTTTTTTGGGGAACTATTCAGAACTACTTTGTTTTACCCAGTTGCATTTATTCCTGTAGGTTGCCCGTGATGCTGACCTTTGTCCTACCCTAATCTAGAGCTATTTCCCATAATCCCAGAGTTAAAAAATAAACTCTGACCCTTATCTATAGGCTAACTGTGACGTTTCAGCAAATGTTTTTATTGAAAGCTAAATAATTATCCTGATCATTTTTATTTAATGTTGCTCTGTTTAAATAAAGTGATGGAGTATCACCCAACAACCCCTGCTGTCCACATGTCGCAGGCAGCTGTGTGCTTGAGCAGAATCGGAACATCACAGTGATTTGACAATGGGCGGACTGTCAGCCCTGAACTATCCACATAAAGTGGCCTCCTCACCTCCAGAGCTTCCCCAGGGTCTTGCTGAGCTCCGCGTTGTGCAGGTGCGGGTGCTGGTCGGCCAGTTTCCTCCGCGCCGCCTGCGCCCACACCATGAAGGCGTTCATTGGCCTCTTCACGTGCGGCTTGTTCTTGCTTCCGGAGTTTACGCGCACGGGCATGGGCACGAGGGTCCAGTCATAGCAGTTGAGCACCTGGCTCACCGCCTCACGGATTCCTGCGGGGAATCGGTCGTCCTCATCATCCGATTTGACGGAGGAGCCGCCCGCCACCGTGTCGTCCAGACCCTCCAGCTGCGGCTGCTGCCTGCCCCGTGGAGAGGCGAGTCCCCCACGCCAGCCGCAACCGGAGGAAGTGGCCCGGTGACAGGGGGAGCGACCTCGTCCGACCCATCCCCCGGACTGAGGCCTCAACCGTACGATATAGCTATTTTCCTCTCTGGACCCATCTTACTAGCACAGGCACACACCACACACCACACACCACACACACACCACACCCAACCCTCCAGGTGCGCCGAGGATGCGAGGCCTGTTCCTAAATGCCTATCTCTACCTGTCGGGTCCTTGTTGCTGTTTATCCCTACAGTGACGCACGGAGTGTCGGCTGACTGCGGTCTGATCTGTCTCTCTGGCCTCCTCTGTAAGTTATAATATAAACTGCCAGTCTGTCTCTACTCTCAGCCTCCGTTGCAAAACTCTGTGAGGGTTCCACATTAAAGTTCTTTCCATCCGCGTTGTTGGTATCATAGGCGGCTCAGTGCGCACCTTGGACCCCAGTTTACCTGCTAATGCACAACTGTCTGCGCCAAACTCACACCCGGTCTCACTTCCCTCCTCACTTCCCCTTCACTCTCTCCTCCGTTTGTCCCACGATTGAAATCCAACAGCGAGGACCTGAAACAGCAGAGTGATGAGAAGCGTCAGATCAACAGGCCGGAGGAAGAGTGACAGTCCAACAACACCTCTAGGCCCACTCACTGCACGCCCACGGAGGAGGTACTGATCATGCCAGGTCAGGGCCTCACTATGGGGGAAATGTGTGTTTGATTTTGCACAGTGTCTTTCTCACACTAATAAAACCTATAAGACTGGCCCTGAAAAGATTGCCCCACCCTAATTTTCCCCAACAAAAATCATTTCATGGGCCCCCTCCAGCCATGTGAGAAGTGCATCATGTGATGAGTACTGAAACAAAATACATACTACATAATAGTACAAAATCTTAGAGTCTTTTATCCTTAGAGTGAGAAATAAGTAGGCCTTTAAAGCGGCTGTGGCCTATAGCGCAGTGCCTGGACCCCCCCCCCNNCCCCCCCCCCCCCCCAAACAAGCTACTGTTTAAGGTTTTGCAGTTATTCCAAGCTCCCCGGAGAAAAAGTGCTGGAATGATATGAGGCCGCAGCAGCACAGACCTTGGATTTATACTCTGCAGTTCTTGGATAAACATGGCCTGGCGCTGGAAATATAAACCCCGAGTGCGTGCGTGTCAGTACGCGTGTGTGAATTAGACACAGTGTGTTTGTTGAACAGGGCCAGGTCTATCGGCGGGAGCAAAAATGTGTCCTTGTTTTGTCCATTAAATCAACACCCTGCCCCGAACTTAACGTCCTAAATCAGCGAACTTCCTGTGAACCAACAACCCACAGCCCGCCGGTTTGTTTTCTGCTCCGGTGTCACATTGCAGGGACATTAGTGATCTCGCTCACGTCTAGTGACATTATGAAATAGCTTGTCAGTTTAACAGAACGTGTGTTCATAGGTTAAGTGGGGGAATATAGCCACACTTAACACTCTGCTTACCTCACCTTTACATGTGAGAAAATGGTTCACCACTTCTTTTTAACGTTTAACCTAAACTGATGCTGCTCATTTCTGGGGCCTTTTTCTGACCATCTACTGTTCTACTTTTTAAACACACCTGTAATTTTAAAAAAGGACATTGGGCTCTGTTGGCTGATTGCAGAGAGGCTCCTTTAATTAACATCAGAGTGGATGTCAGGGATCGTATCAGTGTCCAGTTAGAGGGTCATGTAAAGCTTCGCCATCTGTCCGCGGAGCATTAATAATGATATTCGCCTGCCACCTGGTCTGAAGGCCAATTCACAGACTGTCATCTCGCCTCGAACGCGCCCCCGCAGCAGAGACACAATGCGTAAACATCGTGCGTAATAAGGCACCAAATGCCTCGCTGCGCACGTGTTGCTTGTGTTTGCACGACACTCTCTCGCTCATAATGTCCAATGAAATAAAAGGAAGGGGAATGACTGAGAATCATTTACTTTCTTCACTGACCGCATTCATTTTAAAGTGTATTATTTCTTTAGCCTCAGATTAGGAACAAACAAACGAATGATGAACTCAACAGAGTAGTCTCCACTGGGCACCAGTCTGCGGCAACAACTGTCATTTGATTTATTATCCTATAATATATAATATATAAATCATGCTTGTTATTAATTTACATTACTGGGCACATTTACTGTGCGTAATGAATCTCGGCTATGTGAACTCATTATCGCCGCTCGACTTGCCAGTCAGTTGGCCTTAATTTGCTTGTTTTTTTCAATTAGTTTCACAATAGCTTATATTTACAGTGTCCTCTAGTCCACACAGCTCCAGAATGACAGTAAATACAGGACAAACAGGCACAAGAGGTAGTCAAACCAGGAGCACTCTAATCTAACAAGGAAAAATACATATAAATAAATTGTTTAGACTTTTCCCACCGAATTCCATGTCTAGGATAAGGCTACTTTGTCAGTAATGTGCGTTTAGAGTTCCTTTAAACTTCTAAAAACTGAAATCTCCTTTCTTTGATAAACAGTTTGAACATTTTTTTCTTTTATTAGTATGAAAATTCGCAGGGTTAGTCGAATAGAAAAAGCTTGAATTTTAAATTCCATGTCAAGATAAGAAGTCCAAACAAACGATGATCAGCGATGTATAAAAACCAAGCCCAGAAATCAATTTAAAACAGAAGCACTTGTTGCGCTGATACAATAATCTATCATTACAAGATTCACCATGACAGTTATTAAGTTTGTGATCATCACCCTGGATAAAAAGTGTGTGGAATGTTCTTAAAGCTCATACCAAACTGTTTGTGATGCTGATAATTAATTTTTTGACATTATTTTTAGATGGTTGTACAACTAAAATGGCTGAAATGTCCCAAATGTTACATTATTAAAGTTTCACAACGAACAAATCAGTCATTTTTGGCCCAGTATAGAACCACAGTCCTCGCTCACGAATCCTGAAAGAGTTGTTAATAATCGTCATGCAACTATAAATATTTCATCTCAAAATCTGAGTCGGGCTTCCTCTCTATGATTCCGACGAGAAGAAATAAATGCAATCGCAGAGTGGGAGCAGCCACCAGCAGCAGCAGAGAGGAAAGAGTTGGAAATGCTAAGCGCCTTACTTCAGTAATGAGAAAAGGAGGTCGCCGGTTTAGCACGAGAATCCGTGAGTTCCCGAGTTTCCAATGTGACGCTCGCTCCCCAGCCCCCTCGCTCGCGCAGCCCGAGTATGAATGCCTGCTCTGTGTGTCGGTACCGGGGCTTAAAGAGCTCCTTGTATGAGGCTGAGAGGAAAAAAATAAAAAGGTACTGGGGGGGACAAGTCTTAAAGGAGCAGCAGAACTGCACAGATGAAGACTCGGAGAGCCCTGATTGGTTGAAGTAATAGTTTCTCTCTCTCTCTCTCTCTCTCTCTCTCTCTTTCTCTTTCTCTTCTCTATCTCTCTATCTATCTATCTATCTATCTGGAAAATTGACGTGCTGTTTCTCTCAAATCAGTTGAGCTTGAATACAGTCAGATACGAGCGTGCGTAAATTGTGCGCACGACATTTTATGCAAAGAGTTTTGAACATGAAAATTGTACACAAGATTTTCATTTTGTACATCAACACCCAGCTCTGACTATTTTACACAGGCAGATGCATTATGGTATCAATCGACGCATATTCTGTGTTGTACAGGTGTGTTATACTCCCCGCCTTGTTTAGGCGTTAACACAAGAGGAAGTCCAATTAATGACATTTTCCATTTTTCAGAAACCCAGATGAGCCTTTTCATTTACAGATTCCCTCCGACAGCAACTGAATGAGAAATAGTAGGCCTATTAAAAGTCAAACTGTGCACGAATCTAATACACAAATTGGATTCTAAAATGAACTCTCAAATTAAATCAAGTGGCATCGGCTGAGAAATGTTCTAATAGTTGATGAATCTGACGCAGTTTAAATTCAGGTTTCAGAACATGCTCGGAGACAACGCAGCTTTCTGTCAGTGACAGATCCACAATTAAATAATTAATTAAATAAAAAAGCTTTATCGGAAGCCTAATCTTTTGTTTTGGAGGAAAAAGGGGGAAAATTGTGTCTCACAAACAGATAAATGATTTTGACTGAACATTATTAAAGGTCAAAGGAAGCGCAAAGACTCAAATTGATTTTACTTATAAATCCTAAATCACATCATGAAACTGTTGTAAGATTTAAATTGACACATTCTTTCAGGTGAAAGCATATGGACTGCAAGGTATGATCTAGTGATCACGTTTATATTTACCACCACAAAATACAGGTCTAGACAACATTCAAAGGCCCTTAAAACGATTACGTGGCGTGGACACTGCGCCTCTTCATGTCCATGTGTGAGATTTATAATCGCATCAGCGCCTCTAACTGAGCGCACGTTTAAAGCCAAACAGTGCTGGTAGAAAATGCAGAAAGGAGAGACGAGATGGGACACACGGATACAAACACAAGCGCTGTTCTTCACAACAATGACCCCTTGTATCCCCGCCATGCGACGCACTGGCACCCAATCCAAAAATCACCACTTTTTTTCATTATCCATTAATGTTCGCCTGTGATAAGGGAATCCTAACCATGAGTGCATCTCTCTGTCTAAAATTCGCTGCCGCTTTCATTCCTCCTCTCCCCTCCTTTCTTTGCCCCCTTTGTTTTATCTCAGGTGAATTGTAATCATGTGATCAAAACGAGCACCCCCTTCCCCCTTAAATGAAAAAAAAAAAATGGGGAACAAACAGCAGTTCTGTGCATATGAAAAAAGAAAAGAAAAGAAGGGAAAAGCTTGTGTCTTCCCTTCTTCCGCCACTCTTTGTCCGCGTCTCAACAAACTCTTGACATGTAGGGAAAAATGCTCCAGGAGCGCGGTGACTCGGCCCCGGGGAGCTGCGGTGGGACTGTCCGGCTCCTGGAGCTTTAAACCGGGGACCTTCGGAGAGCCACTCCGGGGACTTCTCTCCCGCTGCGGAGCGGATGATTTGCGGCCCGGCCTCGGTTTGACGTGAGTGTTTGTTTTGGCATGTGTGTGTGTTTATGAGGGGAAATTAACAGGC